TGATTAATTAAAATGACTCCTCCTATGTAAGCGACGATCAAGACTGCACTGAAATTAAAGAAAGCTGTCAGTCAATTCAAATAATCAAAGAACTTCCTACCAAACAAATTGCGCGCTCCAATCGTCCATAGTTAAAGGACTCCCCACCCCATAAATTGCGCGCTCCAATCGTCCATCGCAATCCTGCGATACGCGGCGGGTGCGGCGTGTGCGACGCCGTGTTATGGGAGAAGTTCCCGGACACCTCCCTTCCAGACGTGTAATACTACAATCTATACAGCCACCAAACAGCAACATCAAAGACATACTTTGCAATACATAGTTTTCTTTTTTTCAACACACTACCGTTGCGTAATCAACGGATAATAATCACTCACCACTGATAGCTGCTTTGCGCCTACCGTAATCCACTCCGCCAAACTAGTGTACGAAAAGCTTGCGAAACAAGCAATTACTACGAAATTTATACTAAAATTAGAAACAAAAACGTGATGTTACACTATAAGAGATATTTTCCTCAATGATATCCGCTACTATATAAACCACCATGGATCCGGACTAACCCACGCTCCTCTTCTTCTTCAAAAACGGTCGACTTCACTCAAGCCATCAACATCCAACTCTATCATCAGTTCAACCGACACACAACCTCACTGGTTATCGTAAGTTCTTAAGTTCAACCTCACTGGTTATCGTAGTTCTTTAATTACTGTTTACATAACCAACTCTCTCTTAAACTAAACCCAATAGGAACACTCACTCTCTACCCATCTTTCTCGATTAGAACACTTCATCGATAGTAGTCCGATTCTCGGCAATAATAACATACCACCGCAACCTCATTCAGAACAACCTCTTCCAAATCAAACCTCTCACACTATACCTATCTCTGATGATCCATCTTTCATTGATCCACTCTTCACCCCTCTTCCTGGGTTAGTACATTTCCACGATAGTTACCCAACTTCCCAGTTCGAAAACATGGATATAGTCGAAAACAACATCGTTGACAGACTCGACACTGCTTTTGACAAACTCTGTCTACCTTTTTACGCAAATAAGTTACCAACATTTGCAGGGGATAAAGGAGGTGCAGGTCTAATGCATTTCTTAGAGAAATTTAATGAAATAGCTAATATTATGGGCCTGAGCGAAGGCAAAATGGTTCGTCTTTTACCAGCTCATCTGAAAGGAACAGCTAAGGCAGTTTTTGAAAGCTTCTCTGATTAAGAAAAGCAAAATTGGCGTATGGCGATTACTAAGCTTAAAGAACATTCCTCCACTGACCATTTTCTTGACATGGCACGCGAAAAACTCATGAAAATGAAAATGGAACCAGGGGAATCACCCGTAGTCTTCTCGAGTCGATTACGGGAGGAGATCTTAGGCGCCTACCCTAATCCACATTTTGCTGACAAACGACATTTTTTGCAACATATATTTTTACTAATGTGCTACCTCACCCAATCAAACAGCGCCTAAAACTCCTTGGTCCATTATCGACCGATTATGACCAATTAGTGCGCGGCGCAGAGAGGACATGGAACCTAATCAACTCCGACAGTAGTTGATCATGTAATCTTCACATAGCTAAAATTGATAAGGTCATCAACGCTTCAACCCCATCATATAAACAATCCCGAGCAACTTTATTTTTACGTAACTGCAATATAAGACAGAATTCAATTTAAAACTCGCGTCCTTACCAATAACTTCACCAGAAAGTATTAAAATGACCATATTACTTTTAGTTACAACTAATAACGCCCGACATTAACTTCATTCCTCACCCCAAGTGCATATTTAGGTGTTCTCATCAGTAAAAGTGGCACCCGTCCAAACCCGGACGAGGTAGCCAGTATCAACATCATTTCACATCCAACAAACGTGGAAGTGATTAAATCTTTTCTTGGAGCCTCCTATTTTCGACCCTGCATCCCGCGCTTCTCCATCATAGCTACACCTCTTCACGACCTATTGCTAAAAATGCGCCATTTAAGTGGACTGAGGCTCAAGTACAAGCATTCTCGGCCCTTGGAAAGGCCCTTGTGGAGGCACCTCTTCTAATCTCTCCAATTTTGGACAACCATATAAAGTTCACTTAAATGCCTCCACAATTGGGTTAGATGCATGACTGTTGCAATCAACCCAAAAACCCAAGAAGAACACCCAATTGCCTATGCTAGCCGATCACTGAACATGAAAAGGACTATGCGGTGATCAAACTAGAGGCACTGGCGATAGTATTCGCGTTGAAGCAATTTTGCCCATATGTAGCTAATGCGCGTGTCACGATGGTGACGGATCACGCACCTCTCCAATCACTAATGCACTGATCTGATTTAGTAGGGCGCCTCGCTAAATATCAGATCGCAATCCAATCTTACGATAGTCTAATAGAATATCGCGCAGGAAAGCACAACACATTTGTGATTAGTTGAGCCGTCCTCCTTTATCACGTGTCAACCCGATCACAGCGCGATCTTTTCCCTCTCTTAAAGAAATCAAGAGAGCTAGAGCAATTCGAAATATGGTCCCATATTCGAATTCCTCACTACACAACTTGAGGAACTTTCCTAAGAATTTGAGAATACAGTCAAAATATTTTCAATATACAACAACTTCTTTGCTCTACGACATACACGATAAGGCGGAATTGTTTATCCCCATGTGGATGAAAGCTACTTTCCATATTTCCGTATATGGACGATGTTCTATAACATGGAGTAACATACTTTTTTCTCCCTCCACAGCACTAACATCTAAAAACTCCGTGAACCAATTTGTCTTTGGCTTGAAGAATATCGTTATGGATGTGGACAAGAGGATCATTCCGAAAACTGCTCGATACAAGATGAGCTACGATCTTCACAACAAGGTGTACCCAAAGTACCTTTCCACTGGCGACCCAGAACTCTTGCACGACGACACAGTTCGTCCCAAACCCACAAACCAGTGGAAAGGACCTTTTGTGATTGAAGAAATCAATCGCTCCAATATCACGATCATTAACCTTGTAGGTCGCCCAGTGCGACAAGCAGTTCGTATTACCCGTTTGAAATTGTATTCTCCTCGTTCGATGCCACTTGATGCTTCTACTACAAACACCACACCATCATTCGAACAAAATATAGAAGCACCGAGTAGCATCGAACAACCAATAATACGACGGTCACGTCGCCTTCAGGAGAAACAGCAACGGCAAAGCTCAACAGACTATTATGATTGAGCTACAACATGTGTTCTCATGGCGAGAACACAGTCCTGGGTGAGTTAAAATTTCTATTTTAACTTCACATCCTCTTATCAACACATTTCCCTGTATGGGCGGTTCAAGGAAAGGAATGTTTTCGCTGTAATATCAAAATTACGCCCTTATACTAGTAGACCAAAATTGTGCAGTGCTAAGACTAGTATTCGTATCATAGTATTCTCACTTGTCCGTATATTAGTCGAATCCCACACAGACTAATATACGCTTCGTCAAGCTTACTAGTCTACTACTCGTATACCTTACAAACACCACATATTAATATGTTACATCTAAGAATTATACTAATAATATCCACCATGCTTCTTTAATGTTAAGATATCATGTTGTATAACTGATATAAACCCACTATCACACAAATTAGACTATATTGTATAAGCATAACTGAAATAGCACCACTGTTGTAATCCACTGTCATATATAATTTCCTCCGCACCTGTATTCATCACCACGTAATTCTCATTATTCAAACTCGAGGACGAGTTTTTTTTTCGAACGAGTGGCACACTAGCCTTTCGTGAGGGTAGCCTGTATCCCGTATCAACATCTTGACTAGTTTGGCAGTTTAATTTTCTCGCAAATTTTTGCTGACCCATAATTTCCTCTATGTCCGCACATCTCTCATCAAATGCTTAACATCACACGGATCAGTCCTCAAAGCTCGAGGACGAGCTTTCCGTAAGGAATGGAGATGTCGAGTCATGGGTCAGCTATGCTGTGTCATGCGCCAGCTCGAGACAGACACCAAGGTTTCATCAGCACCGCCGACGCATCCCGTCACTATTTCATAATACTGAGGTGGAAACCTCAGTATAAAAGGAGCCATCCATGGAGTCGAGGTCGTCGTCTCTCGGATGTCAGCTTAGCCTCCAGGCTAACCCCGACCCTTTGTCTATGCTATCACCTGCCCTCTCGTCCTGTCCCCCGTATATCCTCTCTCGTTATTTACTCATATAATAAACATATATACATACATACTCTTCCATACAGAAGCATTCCTAGATCCGCTACACATCAGGTATAGGCCTAGCTAAGCTATAACTTGATACGGGAAAGTTGTGAATTCACCTCCAAAGCAGCATAAAAATGAAAAGGGGTAGAATCGTACAAGTCCTCCCGCAATGCAGTCCTATGCTGCCGCATAAATGCGTGACTAGGAGAGAATTCAAGCTAAAAAGAAAGAAAAAAACTAAAAGACGGTTATATGAAGCAATACACAGAATAAATTTCAAAAGGCGCAAGAACAATAAAAAAAAAGCAAAAGTTAGAAACGTAGAAGCAATAAATGTAGATTAAATCTCACCACAAGTGTTCCCCATTATCCACTGCAGCGGTGAATAGCAACAACAGAATTAAAATTACAAGAAGCATGAAATACGAGTCAATGCAAAGTAGAGTCAGAACAGTCAAATACGGAATTCGAGTTACAAAAGCCAGAGTTTGAATTGATAACAAGAAGAATGTAGTGCCAACAGAATAAAAACGAGCCTCGGTTGGCGCGAAGTATCCAGCGGAACGGCGGCAGAATAATGTTCAGCAGAGAATCTTGTAGAATATAACAGCATCAGATTAGAATCATAGAAGAACAGCGTAGGGAATAGAAAAATAAGAGGGAAGGTTGCACGAATCGCTTCATTTTAAGCTAGACAGTTGTCGCAAAAAGTTAACAAATGTCGCGCGCAACTCGTCCGCCGATTTTTCGGGGTGTAATTTAACTGCGAGTCCGGGCGACGCGACTGGTAACTTATAAACGCTGTTCCAAGATTAGCGAGCAAGATGGTTAGAGAGTAAGATTAGTCGCATATAGGAGAATGCTTCGCGTCGGTGCAATTTAAGCGACGATCCAAGCGTGAAAGTTAGCGACCAAAATGTCGGTGAAAATGTAGTTGTGCACCGCGGGGGTGCCAGTCACTTTTGTGCTCTGTGTCTCTGACACCGGCGGCAGAGTGCATAGAGATGGCAGAAAGGATTACCCCCCTTTCTAAAAGAAAAGGATTCCTCCCCTTCTCAAAGCTAGGGGAGGAGCTCCGGGGTGGGAGAGATTATCTCGTGCAGAAAGCTGGGATGGGGTAAGAATTAAACATTCAACTGGTTCACCCATCCCGGAGCTCCTTCCCTAACTTCTAGAAGGGGAGACTGTCGCCTAAACCTACACCCTGAAGAAACGCAGGCCGAGTTTTTTTGGCAAGTTGCCCACTGTTTGAATCTAGTTCGTTGCGAGACTCACACCATCATGCCTTTACTGTAGCTTCATTTTGATGTTCCGTTTGAATTGCTATTGGAAGAAGTGGCGGTAAGAGTGTCTTCACGCATGAAAAATCCGAATGTCAAGGAAAAGGTGGCATAATACGTCATTTGAAAGAGGTTGTGTGACATCTTGGGAGGAAAATTTTGAAAATAAGAGGCGAACCATGGGAAGAGGAAAGCTTTACGAATCTTTCCCGATGGATGTAGAAACGGGGATCCGGAACGGCAAGTATTTCCATTTCAGTTCAAATTTCACTCAGCTGCTCGTTTCTTTGGACAACAGGGATACACATTCTCCTTCCGGTATGTCATATAACCTGTAACATGGAACGGTTTCTCAACGGTTCACTGTGTAGAGAGCCACAATAAAATGATTTCGATTACATTACATTAACATTAATAACCCATCCGGTAAGAGTATGCCACCATAAAACGTTTGATTGAAATGGAGTGATACTCAAAACCAAGACTGCGTCATGGGAAAAGGCTCATCAGTAACAAGGAACTAAACGACAGAATATCAATTACAACCTTACTCATTTTAAAAGGTCTCTTTTTAAATAATGGGAATAACGTGCATGTTTCCTTTTGGTCTAATGGTATAACTTCATTTAAATGCGTTTTAAAGCAAAATTGCACTCTTTTTTTTTTTTGAAGTCCTTCTCTCAATGCAATTTGATGCCATTTTCTAAAAGCCTCGTATAGTTATTAGGCTGAAAAGGGAAGTGGAGCGCAGTACACCGAGTAGAGACGTGCCAGGAAATGAATATTCATTCATGACAGCAGTGTATTTGAAGGCCAATTTGATCCAGTACAGTGTCTTGTGAGGCAAAGCGGTGTGCTCCTGCCTTTCGTCTTTTGGTGGTGACCTAGGACTACATTAATTCCAATTATACTATGCTGATCCTAAATCCATTTGCTTCAAGGTCGCCGTATTATGATAATCTTTGAGAATGAAGCAGTAAGAATGCAGAACTTGCTTCTCCCTACTTCTTCATGTTGTCAGGTGCCAGTGATTCAGAGGAGATTTCTACTCCGTGAAAAAGCTTATATTCTTTGGCAAAACGACAGCTTACCTTTCAAACAACGTATATTGTCATCTCTTCCCTTAATTTCGGATCTTTCATGGGTGCGGACACTCTTAACATCATCTCTTCCAACAACAATTCATAAGTAGCACCAAAATGAAACAAAAGTAGAGTCGATAGCGTGGGTCTCGCAACGAATTGCTTGATTCACAAGCCATATACTTGATAAATGTCCAGAAACTTGACAAATGTCTCGTGACAACTCGCCCGGCGTTTCTTCAGGGTGTAGGTTTAGGCGACAGTGAAGGGGAGGAGCTCCGGGATGTGTAAGATGATTAGATGGAGTAAGGAATGAAAAGGCGCAGAGCACAAAAGTGCCTGGCACCCCCAACCACCGTCCACCACTATTTCTAACATTTGTACTGAGCTTTACTTTATCAAATGTAAAGCAGAAGAAATCGAAGAAACACCAAAGAGTCGTAAATCTGTAAGAGCATAATGCTGTAAACGTGGATACAATGAGCCAACCAATCGAAGCAAGAACGAGACAAAAGCTAGAACAGTTTAATACCAATCTCATTGTTACAGTGAATATATGAAGAACGTCTGGAAGATATGGTTAATCTGGGCGAGTGCATCTTAAAATTGCGTCTTGTTCCATGCGACATGACGAGATTGGCTGTAGGGTTGGTATCGCGCCGCCGCAACTAAGCGTTGCGGTTGGTTGTGTGTCTGCATCGCTTTTTTCGTGCGCAGTATTAACTGCATTCTGGCAGGTCTCCTATAGTTTATGTCGCACGATTTGTTTTCTTCATTTGGGGGATTTTTTTCTGTTTCTGAATGCCGAATTTTCTTTCTTTCTTTCTACGAAGGGAAAATGCCAGTTGTCTGCATGAGCCGCATTTTGTCGCAGTTTGTCTAGTGTAATTAACTGGAGTTATTACATGTGCAGGATATTTCTCAGCCTTATTGTTCATCAGGCATGATTGGCGGGCTGTTCGTCTATAATCACAAGGGCGAAGTGCTTATCTCACGCATATATCGGGACGATGTCACGTGAGTCATGTTTTAACAACTAACGTCACGTTCACGTCAGCAAGTTCTGGGTGCGTGTCAGAGAACCGAATGGATTTTAGTTCCAACCTGCCATGTCTACTCTACCTATGCTAACTTATGACCACTTTTTTACCCCTATAGAAAATGTTTTCGAATAGGAGCGCAGATTTTGTTTCTAGCTGTGCTCTGCGGTGCCAGACTGACCTATCATGGATGGTTGTGTTCTCAACCTTTGCTGGTTTCGACATGTGTTTCCTTTACCTGGGGTGACTAGGCGGAAGGGCGGCGCCTTTTATGTAGTCAGAGAGATTGTTGTCTCTCTGATAACGAACGAACAAGTAAACACGAAGGTTCAGTGGTATATATTTATTAGTAAGCAACCAAGGGCGGAGGTGGTGTAGTGGCAAGTGGCGCACTATATCATACGCACGGTCAGGGGTTCGAATCCCGGATCGATGCCCGCCTAGGCCAACCAAGCCCTCCATCCCCTCGGGGTCGGTGAATTGGTACCAGACTCGTCTGGGAGGATAAAAGCACTGACTTGTACATCGGCTGGCCACCGCAAGTCATTGTATAGGCCACATACGCACTCATTACGCCACTACGATTCTGAATGGAAGTCGAGTG